AATCGACTCTCGTACCCACTATACTGTATGCGCGACATTTATAGAAATTGGAAAATAATGAAAAAAGTGAGTTACCACTTCTTTAATATGGTATATGGTCACATTGGAGATACGCACATCAGGATTTCATATACTTTACCAAAGTGTTGATTAAGTCTTGAGAAATTTCATGCCACTAGTCGAAAACTGCACTTTTCAGCTCCTGGAGGGTCTGGGAAGGAATTTGGCATGCTGAAATTCATTCAAGGCATTGGATTCAAGTTGAGTGAGTAAGGTGGCCAATCTGTCAAGTGATATCTTCTGCTTGTAAGTATTCTGACATCGTGTATGCTCATTGAGGCTGAGCATTGTCGTCCATTAGCAAAAACTCCTGGACAACAGCATCCTTAAACAGTCTAACTTGTGGTTCCAATACTTCTTCCACATATCTCTGAGCAATTACAGAATTTCCTTAAAAGATATGCAGCTCAGTGAAGCCATTTGTCATAATTCCCCCCCCCCCAAATCACTTAACCATGGTGGCAGAAGCAGAATATTTCCCGAACAAGGGAAAGCCTGTTGCGTGTTCCTTTGTCTCTCCAGATCAAAACACATCTAGAATGAATGTTCAGACTATATCTGGACTCATCAGTAAACAATACTCGGGTCCATTTGTCTTGGCTCCTTTGAAAATCACGAAGGCACCAGTTTAAAATGCCCCTTCTGGAAGCTGGAGTTAGTGGGACACAAACCATTGGTTTTCTCACCATCCAGTCCAACATCTATAAGGCTCCATGCAGCAGTAGAATGGCTAATCTGAGTTTCTGTGGCCGCCTGAAGGTCTGAAATGAAATCTTTTGTAGTTGCTTTGCTGTTTCCTCGAACCGACAATGACAGAAAACAGTCTTCTGATGCAATTTTTAGTCACTTTTTTCAGGCTGTTAGTTAACTGATCCAGTACTTAAATAGTAGCTGCAAACTCTTAATTTGACACTTTGAGGTATATTCAAATCTTGGGCGGCCTTCCAATTGTGTTTGACCTCCCTCAATTCTACCAATTATTCCACACTTTCGACCTTCACTTAAATGATGCCTTTGAGCCATAACTACTGATTACTGATCACTCTCAGAAATCACATTCGCTTTAAACAAAACTACAGAACGAAATTCCAATATACGTCTGTCGTGCACCACGTTGTCATTCACCAGATTTACAAATTTCCGGGGCTAACATATGTGTGGAAGTGCATTTTTGTGTTCAATTGTATTTAATTAACATAAATAATTACAGCTCGGGGCATTGGTTGCAACATTAACATAGTAAGCATATTTTTTCTCACTACCCTTTAATTTTGATGACCATTGTATGATGAGGGACATAATCTCTTTATCTAATTCTTATTTAATTTTTGTTTATTTATTTATTTATTTATATATTTGTAAGTGCCTATCTTTACCTCTGTATTATTGTCCCCTTATGACTTGTTGATTTTTATGCTACTGAAATGAGACATAAACTTCTTAAATTGATGACTGTGTGTTGAGTATTTCACACAGTCAGTTTCACACAGTTGTTGCTGAAATATTTTTTAAATCTTCATCATTTGCTATTCAAAGGGGGGGGGGAAACTTCTTCTTCTTCTTCTTTTTCTTTTCTTTTTTTTTTTTTTTTTTTATTGTTTAAAACTACAAAAGTCTAAAATTTAAACTTGGAATTAGCGCCCACCATCGGCCGAGCGGTAAAGTCGCTGAACACTGGTAGTTCGGTCTGAGGTTCGAATCCCGCGAACGGGCTGGCTGCATGGGTGTTTTCGTGGTTTTCCCCACGTGTAACATGTATACGAGCCAGTTTCCCTTAGAAAGTCCTCCACAGGCATCCCTCCCCTTAGGCAGATAGCCCTTGTGTGCTTTGCCGTAATTAAATACACCACACCATAAACTTGGAATTAAATTTTAAAAGTCTAAAATTTTCTGTCAGACTATCAGATGAAATATCTTCCCTTTGAATGTTAATTCTTGTGTGGCTAATATATATATATATATATATATATATATAAATGAACAAAAATGACTCAATTTTATGTTTTTCTTGCTACTTCATCAATAAGAACTTGCATGAAGGAATTCTTTCTCTGAATGATCAATAATTTTGTTCATGCAAAATTATTTAAAAGCAGGTTTTATGACCAGTTGCATCTTCATTGTTAATTTTTACTCAGTGCAAATTTCATTTTAAATAAATCATAATTAGCAACAGTAGCTGAAGATTTTAATTCTGTTTACATGTTATTATTCATTTATTGAAAAAAATGGGACTTTCATCTTAATAATTTCTGTTGAACCATCATTTGTCTGAATAATTGAAAAATTCACATAGTTGGTTTATCTGTTTTTAATCAGAAATGTATATATACTGTAATGTAAATGAAGCATTTTTTTTTCCATGTAACATATTTATTACAATTTATTTACAAAAACTGTAATTTTGCAGAATCAGGACTCTGGATAGTTGGAGTTCTTTTGGGGTTTGTTTCAGATACTTTTGTGATACCTTTTATTATAATTGTTCTTAGTCAAAATTCCTTGAATATGAAGTGTGTGAGGCTGCAGTTGGCAGCCCATGATAATGTAGTTATGTTCATTTTTTAAAATATATTTTGAGAGGATGTTTTTTATCTTCACTTTTCTAGAGTTCAGTTAATTCATATAAAAATATTTACTTGGATTTCTTCTGTAATCATAGAACATTTTTGTGCTTTTAGGTACAGTTTGTTTGAAGTCTCATTTACTCAAATTTTCAATTACCTTGAATTTTCCTCCCCTCACTTCAGTTCTGGGTAATGAAATGTTGAGAGAGTTACTGAAATCATTAGAGGTTCCCCCCCCCCCCCCCTCAAGTTTGAAGTGCTGATGAAACAGACTTTTAGACCTCTAAGATTGTCACATAATTTTTTTGCGTGTGAGAAGGCAAAGGATAACATAACAGTGTTTAGAACCTACCAAGAATTAAATCTCATTTTTCTCTCCAATTTTAAAAATGCATGCATAGAAATCCCAGAAGTAACTAAAAAATGAATCCATTTTTGAATACCAAAAAAATTACTACCTGTGTGTGGGGGGGGAATACTGATTTTTATGTCAAGTTCCTTATATATAATGAAACTACATTGATCAAAGCTTCAGAAAATCTAAAAACATTATTTAAAAAAATTTAAAAAAAGAAAGAAAGAAAAGGATGAAAGGAAAGAAAAGAAATTTACAAAGAATATCGAGAAATGTATTAAAGTATTACAGCTGTACTTCTCTCTGGAAAACAGACAGTTGGCATATGCATTATAATTCGTGTTTTTGTTTTCTTAGTAAATCCAAATTTATTTGGACAAATTCGTCAAGAATCATGGAAAATGTATGTTTTTGTTGATGATCATAGACTTTCTTAGGGGGCCTTTGACTTTGAGTAATTATTTTGTGGATTAGTATTTGAAGATATTTCTCCTAAAACTTTTAAAGTAAAAAAAAAAAAAAAAAAAAAAAAAAACATTATTAGAAATGTTGAGATAACAGGAATCCGCAGTAATTTTTGTAAATTTGATGAAATTTTCTAGCTATGCCACTTTATGATTTGAACTTTGGATCCCCAATGGCTAGTCAAACATACTTTAATTGAACGCACACAATGAGCAGTGCCCTTCTCTGGAATTCAAACTCTGAACCCTCTGAAAATTTATGAAAATTACTGCTGATTCCTGTTCCTTCAACATCTCTAATAGTACTTTTAAAGTTGTTTAATGAATCATAAAATGCTTTACCAGATTGAATGCTGCACATAAAAATGTGATTTTATTATAGCAGTAAATTGTATTGATTGTTTTTTATCTTGGTAAATACTGTAGTAATTATATTTCACTTAAAGAATATGCCTTTGTAACCATCCGTTATAGAATTCATTTCTGAATTTAATCCTGAAGAACACTGTACTAAACATAATAATTTTTTCCATTAACTTGGAAGCTGTTTGCTAGATTTTCATTGCTTGTAGATCTCTCTCTCTTTTTTTTTTTAAAGGAACTGTAATTGCTTACATTCATAAAGGGGCAGGAAGTAGAAATGAATTCAGTTTTAAAGCATTAAAAATAAAATATTAAAGTTGTATATACTTTTTAATTTGAATAAAACTTTTACTAGTTTTTTCGTTTAACAGTTATTCTCTCTTTTTATTTACTGTTGTCCAAATTTGAACAGTATGTATTTTTACACCATCTGCATTTTCTTCTATTCAGAGAAAGAAAGAAAGAAAAAATTTGTTTAAGAAATCTTATGAATTAAATGTTCTTAATATAACTTATAGGTAGAATATAAATTTAATATGTATCAGTCAAATCTAAACTCTGATCTTTAGGGTACAAAAAGAGAACTTGCATACTGTAAATAACATTTTAGTTTATACAAATTTCTTTAGTGCAGGGAATTCAGCAAAAAGGCCATGCGACTAGAACATGTAAACAGGATTTTAAAAATTTCAAATTCCTTCCTCTTTTTGGGGAAAGGGGAATAGTTTGATATAAGACATTTCAAGACTTCCCTTCCAGAATTATAGGTTATACTTTGTAATTTTCTGTACTAATAACAGGCTACAAAAATTTGAAATTGATCACCATTTCATAATTTATACAAAAGAAACACATTAACTTTAAATATAAAATTAAGCTTAAATATCTTAGACTGGCATAGATTTTATATCAAATTCTATTAAGTTTGAGGACAACTGATGTAGGTAATATGTTAACCTGCCCCCATGAAAAAGGTCCTTTATAGTTGACCTTACCTCAAAATTGGTAATTTTTTATAAAATCTACTTCGAGTCCAAAGGGTGTTTTTTTTTTAATTAATTATATATATGTAATTTGTTTAAATGAAACTTTTTACATATCTCTCTTCAGGAAAGTTGATCTTTGTATGGCCAGGGTTGTAATCATATAATCATGTATTTCCTATGCCTTGTCTTTTTTTGTATGTTGCAGGAGTTTATTGTGCCTCATACACCGTATGATCGAATTCGTAGTGCGTGAAGGACCGATGTTTGAGGCCATGATAATGAATCGTGAAATTAATAATCCAATGTTCAGGTAAAGTTAGTTATCTTCAGGGTGTTCTCACGAATAAACCTGAAAATAATTTTTTTTTTACAATTATGTTAAATGCTTCTGTCTGCTGTTTGATGTATCATTTTTATTGATTTGTTTCTACAGTTAGTTTATAAGAATTGTTTTTAATTTGATGATAAATTTTGTTTATTAGTAAGAGGAATTTTCTGACTAAGTTTGTTACATTAAATTATATTACTACTCTCTAATGTTTTTAAATAAATGTATTACAGGTTTTTATTTGATAATCAGAGTCCTGCTCATGTATATTACCGGTGGCGATTATATTCTATTTTGAAGGTTTGTCTAACTTTTAACTTTATTTTGCATGATTTAACATGGAAAAAATATACTTCTACTGTGTATTATATGCTAATACGTCTATGGATTTTTTATATAAGTGATCCTATAGTGTGGTCATTCATATTTATAATACCTTCAATTCATTAAACTGCCATTGTATTTTCATAATGCATATATATTAAAACATTCTTATTTAATTATTATGCTTAAATAAGTGTAGGTAAAAATATATTTATGGGTTCTTGGCGAAAATTGGTGGTACATGGACACCGAGTTTGTGCAGTTCTCTGACCTGTTATTTTGGCTTTATTTTTGGTGCAAAAATCACACCACTACACAAAGCAAAAATAACAGGTCAAAGAATTGCACAAACTCGGTATACGTGTACATGTCGACCTAAACACTAAGTTAAAACACTTTAAAAAACATCAGATTGCAAATTGGTGGAAAATTTGTATTGGATGTTTCTGTGAAACTGGAATTTCGAAAGTACTTCTGAAAATTAATTGATTGTTTTCTATAGTCATTAAATAGAAAATTGCAATCTGCCCATTTAGGTGACCTCTAAAAATCGTTCTCTTTTCTTTATCTGTGCATTCTAAACAGCTATTAACTATGACTATTATAAGCACATATTTTACAGCCCTTGCAAAAAATGAGCTCTTTCTTCTTTGAATTAATGTTTATAAATATAAATCCTTTATTCATGGCAATTTAATGGGAATTGTAATAGTGTGAAATATTAGTCATAATATTGCATGGGCCAATAATCATAAGCACCTGCCAAATGATGGAAATTGCATGTCGTATAACTATAAATATGTCTATAAATATGTATGTCGTATAACTATAAATATGTATGTCGTATAACTATAACTAGTGTTTTAACTTAGGTTCTACTGATTGTTTCTATATATTTAGCAAGCATGTTTCATGAAATTCTGATCTTGATATGGATTTGCTTTCTTTAATTGTCATCATAATATGTACCCACTGCCAATGTTTCATTTATTATTCAATCAGCTATAGCCATCAGACTGTTTCATAATTGATGTAACTTATGTTTTGAAGTTTGCATCATTTATATATATTTTTTATGACTCAACAAATATAATAAATAATAACTTCAAGTATCTGTCTAAAATTACATGCAACATGAGTGAGAGTAAGTACTCTAAAAGGCTCAGAAAAACCCTTATAAAATAAGGTATGTAATCCCCATCATTGAGATTTGGGACACTAAAATAAAACATGCACGCATGCATTTGGATTATGAATGTATTAAAATTCAACATAGAACAAAAAGAAAATAGAAGCTTTTTAAAAATGAAATGTGGTGGGAACAAAAAAATTTAAAGGTGTAATGAAATAAATTTGTGCGAGTCCCCATGACATAACAAGCAAGGTTTACATTTTAACACAAAACTAAAAATTTACATTGAAGTACAAGAGTTCTGCTATGAGATCCTGTATAAGTTCTTTTATGCTATGATGTCTAAAATGAAGTGCTTAATAATGAGAAACTTTTTATTTTATTGAAACTAATTTAATTTTTTATTTAGCATTTATATCAGTTTTATATTTCTATTTGTAGGGTGATCATCCTAGTAAATGGCGCACAGAAGAGTTCTACATGTTCAAAAATGGGTCGTTATGGAAACCACCTCCTCTAAATCCTTATCTTCAAGGAATGCCCGAAGAATTAGTTGAAGTTCCACCAAAGCCAGTTGAACCTAAAAAAGGGTCCTTATCTGACAGGTAGCAGAAACATTGTGTTTTAAAATTATTTTCTAAATGCTTAAAAGGTTTTAAATTATAGTTGTTATTTTTATTCCTTCCAGTGATATTCTTTGAAAGCATTATTTTAAGATGTAATTTCTTTTTTATGTATAATTTTATGCATCTGTATGAAAATTGATTAATTTAAGTCCATAAATTTCAGATTTTTTAGATGTAGAAATGGGATATCTTTAATGTTGTAAACTTTTTTTTTTTTTTTTTTTTAAATATTTTAAAAGGTTTTTATGTATTCTAAATGGTAATGACTAACAGTAATCTTTCTATCTTTGTTTAATTAATTATTCTTTATTACCTTTTTTCATATCTGAAAATTAAATTAAAAATAATTATTATTAGTAAGAAAGAATATATTAAAAATCTTAAACAAAAATCAAGATAGGAATGTTTGTAAAATGTAGTTGTATGTAATTAACAAATCTATTGATATCTGATTTTAAAAAATGGATTTTTGCAGGAATATCAAGTAAAATCCGATTTTTTTTTTTTTTTTTTTTTTGTATTCGTTTTCTTCGAATTTATTAGTTCACAAAGCATAATGAATATTTGCCTGTGTTTACAAAATTTTGGATGCCAGTTGTAATTATCAGATTTTATAAGTGTGTAGAGACATTAGGATTTTTGGAAGCAGGCAAGATGAAAAATTAGCAACGCCTCTGCCGGGAATCAAACCACTGACCTCTGGAATACCAGCCCAGCGTGCAGAACTACTACACCACGAAGGCACGCTAGGAAGGCAAGAGAAATACCTTATATACTCCCCTTTTTAAAGGGCAACTGGGCTTTTCAGGGGACCCAATCGCCAAATCCTGGGTGAGGAGAATCATCATCTAACACCCTTTTAGTTCGAGCACCACTGTAAAGACATAGTTTTTTTTTTTTTTTTTTCTTTCTTTCTTTTTCTTTTGAAGCAGGCAAGATGAAAAATGAGCAATCACCTTTGCCGGGAATCGAGCCACGGACATCTGGAATACAGGCTCAGCATGCAGAACCACTACACCACGAAAGCACGCTAGGAATGCAGGAATGATAATAAGCGATTGATAATTTCATTCTGTACATAATTTACGGTGAATAGTACTTGTATATAGTGCGAATGAAATGCAATTTTCCATCTATATAATAATTTCACAATTTTTTTTAAATAAAAATTCCACTTCAGTGTTGTGTTACAGGTAAAGAATTTAAAAGAATATTTTACAAATATGTATTTTGTATGAATCATCAAAAAGCTGGTTTCCTTGAAAGATTCATAATTTCAGCAAAAAGTTGTTCTGTTGAAGGACAGTAGCTTTTGCTGGTCATTTACAGAATATATTAGCTGGATTCTTTTTATTGTACTCTAGTACAAGTTTTTAATGTCATTAACTTAGTTATTTTGCAAAGAATTTTGATGAAACATTTATAAATACTTTTCAGATTTTAAGTAAGTTTTCAGTACCCTTGTTTTTATGCAAGTATAAAACCCTGTTTTAATACTTGCATAAAATTAAATTTCATCTATTCCCCCTTCTGAATTTGTCTCTATATGTATTTAATTTATTACTGCATTTCTTTGTTTCCTTCTGTATTTCAGCCAGAGAGATAAATTTGAAGATTTACTTCGTAATATAACTCCTGAGAAGTACAAAATTGCTGAAGCTATGATATATTGTATAGAACATGCAGAAGCAGCAGAAGAAATTATTGAATGTATAGGAGAAGCAATAGCTTCACCTGAAGCACCTCTCTATAAAAAAGTACTTTTATTTTAAATACTTATTTCTAATTTACTTTTGAATTTAAAACTAAAGCTTAATAATTTGCAATTTGTTTTAACAGCTGTTTACTTTCCTTTCAGATTGCTAGATTGTACCTGATTTCTGATATACTGCATAACTGCAGTGTGAAAGTTGCAAATGCTTCATTTTATCGAAAAGGGTATATTTTCAATCTTCCTTTTAGTAATGCTTTTACCTTGAATATTTAATTATTGTAGACTTTCATTTAAAAAAAAAAATGTATTATCCATTCATAGATTTCAAGTCAAACTTCCAGATATTTTTAAAGACTTGCATGATATCTTCCAAAGCATAGAAGGCAGGTTACGAGCAGAACAGTTTAAGGTTAGTTTTTTTTTTTTTTTTTTTTTTTTTTTTAAATTATTATTATTATTATTTTATTTTTATTTAGTGTTGTTGTTATTATATTTTATCAGAAATAATCTCTCTTTTTTAAGATTATTCATTTTTAGAATTATTCTCTATATGAATTGCATTTATAAAATTAAAATATTGCTGTAAATTTACACAAGTATTTGTGTTTATTTCATTGTATTTTTTAGTGTATTTTATAGTATTATGCATTATTTTCATATATATATATATATACAGGGTTCGTACAGTCTTGAAAAATACTTAGGTGTTTTTGGTCCTTGAAAAATACTTAGGTATTAATTTTGGCCAAAACTGGCCAAATGTCTTTAATTTTACTCATCTGATATTTCTGTTTGTTATTTTGCGACTGCCGTTTTGAATGTGAATTAACATTTTGGAGGAATATTTTTGGGATTGACAAATATGCATTTGATGGGTTAACATTTGAATTATTTCCTACTTTTCAATATTAAATGGTGGATACTCGAGTTTTAGAAGCACGAGGTCCTGTTTCAATTGTAGCATAAACATTTCGAAGCAATTCTTTTTTTGTGTGTGAATGAAGATTTCGTATAACATTACATCAAAAAATTTTCTTTTTTTGGGGGGATATGAGTTCTTTTATTATATGATGTGAAATTTGACGACTTATTGACATTTTGGTGATTCCAAAATCAGTTTGTATACAAAATTTTTAATTCAGAGATTTGCAAAATTTGGACAACTTTTTTTTACAAACATAACAATATTGATAAATATCATAAAAATAATTATAATAAATTAAAAAAATGATGTTCAAGGAATAATATTAAAGTAAAACATTTTTATTTTCTCCTGCCATATTTTAAAGTGACATGGAAATATTTTGATTCTGAAAAATAAACTAGGTAATACATGCTATAAAGCACAGTTTCTGAAGTACTTCTTATTGGGGGGGAAGCTACTGTAATTATTTAAAAATATTTTTTTTTATGTTTAGAGTTTCTCATGTAGTTGTTTCTGAATATTTACATGTGTATCAGTTTCCTCTTGAAAATTTACTTTATCCTTCTCTTTTTTGAATTTTTTCTCAAAAATCTTCAGTCTTTTTGCTCTTGCAGAGTGGGTAGGGATAATATTTCTCTTCAGGTTTAAACCTTGCACTTTGGAAGGTCTAAAGGCAAGATTTATAGACCTACAATTTCCAGAACAATGTGACAAAATGAAGAGTGTCTTCATGGTATTAACACCTACAATTTCCAGAACAATGTGACAAAATGAAGAGTGTCTTCATGGTATTAACACATAGTGGATGTGTTTTGTAGGAAATTTGTGATAAATTACTCTTTTTTTTTTGAGAATTTTCGGAAGAACAGTGAAAAGAAAATTATTTGAATTTTCTCCTTTTGATCCCAGAAGTCTTTCTCTTAATGTGTGTATCATCCCTTTATTTTCATCTTTCTACTTCATACATGTCTCTGTGTGCCATACGTACTTCAGTGCCTTCTCTAAATTCTAAAAATTCTGCCACATTGGCTCCGGCACCAATCCTTATTTTATATTATTTCATATTTATTCTCAATCACTAAAGAAATCAAATTAGCAGTTTCTTCTATACATTCTCAGAACAAGCAGTTCTTTAGAATAACAGAAATCTTTTAATCTAAAAATTCTAAAATGAAGAGAAAATTCATTGAAAAAGGTATTGATTTTGTAGAGAGAGAGAGGAAATTATTCTTCAAAGGTACATTGTTGAAACATTAACAAATTTGGAGATGAAGCAGAGACACGAGAATATTTTATTATTATTATTATTATTATATTATTATTATTGAAATAAATAAACTTAGAAAATGTGTTAAAGAGAAGGAAATTCATGTAAATTAGCTAAAATATCGGAAAATTTCAAGTTAAAAAGATGCATAAACATTTTGTTGTTATTGCTACAAAACATAAATTTTGTGTAATTTTTAATGTATAGTTATACTTATGAATCAATATCATAAATTATAACTGCTGTAAAATGTTCTTAGTGCTTTTTAATGGATATTTTTTAGAAATAGAAAATATATATATATAATTGTAACTAATGACTAAGAATATCTAACTACATAATTTAATTATTTTAGCTAACTGCTTACCCTTAGTTATCTCTACATATTAAGATGAGTTATCTCCTTTCCTTAATCTGTATTATTCTTCGAAGTAACTCTCGAATTGTCTGGATAATTTTGGGATGTGCATAAAGTCCTACATATGTATCCTGAATTGTTATGTCTGCTATGCCACTTGACTCATAATTAATACCATAATTTAAATAATGAGTAACTTTAAAAAAAATTCTATTCTGAACATTAAACACAATTTATGGCAGTGTATTTATATCTTTTAAATATAGTATCTAGCATTTGGCCATTATGGAATTCGACTTGTACTTTATCCAGGAAATTTTCCATAACTCTTGTTAGAATTTTGGGTTCTAATTCATGACTTGCTTGTCAAATAGTGGCTGTAGTTGCAGTATGTTTTATGGCTTAATCCATACACCTTTTCCTTTAAATAGTTCCTGGAAGGGGGTATATTATACAGTTATTAAATCTAGTGATCACAGTGGTGAGTAAAACTCGCAGGAAATTATGCAAATGCCAAGAATTTTCCTCAAAGAAGCCAATATCTGTCACTGTCACTAATTGATTACTTGTTAAGCCTTTTCCAAATATTAAAAAATTGCAGTTTGCTTGTTGTGTCAAAATAATTGGTATTGATTTTTCAAAGTAAAATTAAATAATCTCCGACAACAAAACAAAACCTTTGGGGGGGGGCTTAATATAGTATGTAATGCTTATACATTTCTCTCTCTCTCTTTTTTTTTTTTTTTTTTCCAGCAAAGGGTAGTAAGTTGCTTCAGAGCCTGGGAAGACTGGGCAATATATCCGAGTGAATTCCTTATAAAATTGCAGAATCTATTTTTAGGTCTTGTTCCACTGGTAAATATGCTTCCATTCTTATTTCTTTAATTTAGTATGTTTGATTTAAATTAAAATTATTAAAATTCTCTTTTAAAAACTACAAGGCTCCCACTAGCCTGGAAAATCAGAAAAGTTAAGAAAATGCTTCAGTTAATCCTCTCAGATAATAAAAAGTTCATTTTAAATAGCATGCAATAAACAATGCTTGCAGATTTTGAAAAGAAAGCAAGCAAAAAGTTTCTGCAATATTTGATTTTCTTGCAGAAAATATTTTACCAAATTTATATCTGATTTCAATTTTATGTAGTTACAGGTGTGAGCACTTTTTTTCACCTGTTAGTGAGCTTTTCTTCACTCTTTTCTTTCGGAATGTAGCTATTCTACTGCTGCTGTCTTTAGAAGTGTAATTGGTATTCAAAAATAAACATTACACTTAAGAAGTCAGTTCATTGTGTAGTTATTGCATATTATAACAAATAATCCTAATAATTAAACACTCATTCAACCATTGCAATTCTGAATGTCTCAATTTTATTTTGAACGATCAAAATTTTTTTTACTGTGAATTGTGTACTGTTGTAATAAATTATTATTTCAAAATGATCACCCCCCCAATTTTTTTTATTCCCACATGCTTTATTAAATAGTTAATTTGCAAAATCCATGTAGATATTCTTTCTTTCACAATAATAAATAATAAATTTTTATGCCATTCTTAGTTATGATATCATATTTTATAGTAAATATGTAAAGTTACTTTAATTGTGTATGCTTAATTTATTAATCATTTGGTTTATATGATTACTGCGAAGATTTCAGGGCTATCTGCATAAGGGGAGGGATGCATTCATGGAGCTAAACTGGATTTCTAAGCTAAACTGGCTCGTATACATGTCACACATGTGGAAAAAAACTCATGCAGCCAGCCTGTTCATGGGATTTGAACCTTGGACTGAACTACCAGTGTTCAGCGACTTGGCGGCCGGTGGGCCCTATTTGTTAATGAATTCATTATGTTTGGTTAGGGAAATTAAAACTTAAATTTCAGTGGGAATCCTGTTTTGAAATTAAAAATTTAGAACGTTGTTCTAAAAGTTGATGTATGTGGTTTTTATTATTTTAAATTATCTGTTTCAATATTTATATCATTGCTAAAGTTCAAAAGCCATTAATGTGCATGTAACCTAGCTGATCTGCAGATTAGCTGATTTCTTCCATCAATGTGCCAAATCGAGAGTTTAGTAATGTGCACATTAATGGCCTGTGTATCGTTAAAGTTGAAAAGTTTGTTTTTCTCATTTTCTTTCCCTGCGCCTTCCCTTTCTCCCTCCACTTTTAGCTTGGTTTCACTAGTGTCTTGTCTTGCAGGCTATTTTTATTTTTAGTTTGGTTTCCTTGGCATCTTGTCCTCAATGGTTATTTTAATTTCTCATATTTTGTGTCAACTGCCAGGGTGTACCATAGCTACTTCTTTTTAAAATTCAAACATGAATTTTTTAAACCCTAAAGTTCAGCTAAATGCAAGCAAGCACTGAATGGATGAGTAAAGTGAAGAAAAATTCTTCGCATTAAAGAAGATTCGAAGTTTAATAGTATTTTAATGACAAAATGAAAGTATGATTCCATAGTTAAAGAGAAAGAAATTCCAAGAAGAAAGAATTATATGAGAAAGTGTGAAAAAGTTTGTTTATGCCAAAGAATTTGACATATTTTATTCTACTCAGTTTTCTATTGGCCATGTTAGAAGAGACAGAATGATCAAGCAATTAAATACGCTTTCTAAAATCAAAGCCAACATAAAATTGTTTGTGGATTTATGCGAACCTTGTCAACAAAAACAAAAAAGGGTTGTTATAAAGTGGATTATTTCATCGTATATCAATAGCAGATGCCACTCAATACCAATGATTAAGTATTTCGGAAGTCCTATGGTTCTAAACCATGTAAATATGTACCTCCACATCGTAAAATTACCTAAGTAGTGAGCAGAAATGGGAAACCTACATAAAAAGTTAGTTTGATGCAAGCTAGAGGTAGCCAAATTAGCTTAAGAGGGTTTAAGTGTAGGAAAAATCATTAAGTCAAAAGTTTTGATTTCCCCCCCCCCCCCCAATTAGTCCAAAGAGGCTTTGTCCTTGAGGGACTAATGTTTTCCTTTTGCGATTTTGCATCAAATCACTCTGAATGTCCGTTTCACTTTTCAAACTGTTGCCACCAAGTATTATCACCCTATATTATATCTGAAGAAATTAAATAATGAAGAATCTGCATAAATGTATGTATGTTTTTTGTATTGGGATAAAACAACTCTACCTAGAGCCATCAAATTTTGAATGAGGTAATCCTACTGTGAATATGTACATCTGGAAGCCCAAATTTGAAATTTGGAATTTGTTTTATCATCGATTTCATATTTTGTAAAACTTCAACAATTTTTTTATTAACAAACTCAAAGGTTTCAAAGTGATTCCAGCGCGTGAGACTGTGTATCGGAAATTCGAAAGATATGCTCAATTTAAAATTATTTTGCGATATTGCTCTTGAACTGAATTTTATGGTTTAAGTGCGAAGAACATGATATTTATTAAATACAGGTAACACACAAAATGTTAAAAAAAAAAGCCCCTTTGGATGTAATTTAAAATCTGAAACCTTTGAATTTTTTTTTTAATAACATAAATAAAACACAAAATCAAAAAGCAGACAGGAAAGATTTTAGAGATGTAAGAGGCTCATTGGCATAGGCGCTAAATCAGAATTTTGTGAAAACGTGAGGAAATATCCAAGGCAAAATTTAATTCTGCGGCCATGATGTGATTTTTAAACAAACAGATTGATAGCAGTGCAAAAAAGGCCACTTCATAGTTGAACTTGAATAGAATATAGTAGTTTGGCATAGTCAAGTGAGGAATAGCAATTTTAGAAGATTGAGACATCAGTCCTTCGCAGTGTGGGGGCTGGCACTGAAGAGGCGGAGGTGTGTCTATGGCTTTTAGCATGAGGCTAGATGCCATAGTTTCAGCCCATGACGGCTCTTGGTCATTTTTGTGAACTAGGAATACCAGTATTCTAGACAGGAAGCTGTTCAAGTGCTTGCTTATCAATCTGTTAAATTTTGAGGAATAAATGTTGACTAACTTTTTTAATAACAACATCAATTGGTTTAATGTTAAGGTCTGAGTGAATCATATCAGTACAGATGTATCAGGCTGCACTAAGGACTAACTGTAGGGTTTTACTTTGGAAGGCTTGTAATTTTCTTATGTGAGTCTCCGCAGCCGTACCCCAAATGGTACATGCGTACATAAAATTTGGTTGAATATTTGTAGTATAGAGAAGAGCTTTGTTTCTGATAGACAGATGTCTCTTTTGAGCTAATAGGGGGTTAAGTTGGAATCTGACACTCTTTGCTTTATTGAGAGTATTCTCAATGTGAAAATGCCAGAGTAATTTTGAATCAAGTATCATTCCTAGATACTTATATGAGTTTGACCAGGGAATATAGTCGTCAAAGAATTTTAAATTAATGGAAGAGTACAGGAGTCAGGAGCATGTGAATATTGTGGCAGCACATTTAGCAACATTAAGTTTGATTTTCCAGATGTGAGCCACTGCTCAAGGCTTGAGAGATAACTCTGAATTTGTGAACCAATTTATCCGAGTGTTTGTGCTTGGAGAGGATGGCTGTGTCATCTGCATAAAGTGTTAAAGTGACACTGGGTGATTTTGGTATGCCATTAATGAAAATTTTGAACAAAAAGGGCGCTAAAAGACTACCTTTTGGCACGTCACTTAGGATTGGGCGGCGCATTGAAATGATAGAATTAACTCGCACTGAGAAAAAAACGACTAGTGAGATATGAGTTAATTGTGTAAGTAAGTTGAGCCGAAAGATCAAATCACATTAGCTTGATTAATTTTCTCATATGCCAAGTCCTATCAAATGCTTTGCGATGTCAAGAAAAAGTACGCTGGTAAACATTTTGCTACGAAAGCCTTTATGAATGAACTACACTGTCCACAGAAGCTGGTGCGTTATGCATTGTTTTGCTCGGAAACCAAATTGTTTATCAATAAGGACTTTTTGGCTCCAGAAAAATTCAGCTACATAAGTAGCACAAATTCGTATATCTTAGATAATGAAGACAGGAGACTGATGGGTCTGTAATTTTGAGAATTTAATGTGTCCAGGTTTTTTTAATAGGCACAATAAGTGCACGCCTCCAGCTTTGAGGAAGATAGCAATGCAGTAACATGTAATTTATTACCATTACTAAGAAAAATAAATATCTTATGAGAAGGTGTTTATCATATGATTAGAAATAAAGTCCAATCCTGGGGCCTTTTTATGTTTGAGCTTAGCTATATTCATTAATTTCTCTCTGTGTTTTATATTGTAAGTCCCTACTATTGTAAGTTCCTACTAGGGACTACTACTAGTCCCTACTCCTTTACTAGTTGTAGTCCCTACTACTACTTTATATTGTAATACTACATGGAGAATGGAGAAATTGTTCAACATCATGTTGGAAAGAAGTTGGGATATTAGCAAATATTCCTTCATTATGTGGTGTGAATTGAGTTTGGAGGCTGTTGGCTAATAATTCAGCTTTCTCTGTGTTTGTATGGGCCATAACTGCATCCTTTGCTACGGACAGAATGTGTTAGTTTTGTCTGTGTAGTCTGCTGATGCATGCCAAAAGCTGTTATTTGAAGTCATTAAGGACAATGTATTTGGTGTATCGTGATTGGCTGTACTGGTGACATGATGCCTTGATCTCATTCTGGAGTGTACGGAGTTTTCATTTTAAGTTAGGACTTCTAGTTCTTTGCCAGAGTCTTCATACTTTATTCTTTTTTCGAATTTTGTTTTTAATCTTAGTTGGAAGAATAGAAAAATTGTGGTGAAGGGTGGGTTTGGATACTTCTATGAAAGCATCTGTTAAGGTAGAAGTTTATTGATCAACTGCCTTATCAATATCATCACTGGATTTAATTTCAATGGACGGTAAACTTTT